CTGGATAAAGCTGATAAAAGCTGTAAAACTAAATATTTATGAAAATTTTGGCGAAAAAAATTCTATTTTGAGGTTTCCTGCTCTGTAATATTTATAAAGGGATTTAAAGGCAAAAAAAATGTAGAATGCCAGTGATTTTTAATAATACAATAATTAATGTCCAACAGCAGTCCCTCTTGACTTATAGCTGATAAAATCCTTCATTATATCATAGCTATTTTTTTTTCTCCCTTTGCCAAAAATAGTTGGATAGTGTGGCAGTGCCGCTATAAAACCATCCCAGTACTGGGATTCCATTTTTTTACAGTATGACATTTTGATGATAAAATCTTTTATTCTGTATCTTATCACATCAGCTATTGAGATTGAATTAAAATCATAAGCTATCTTTTTAGCAAGCATACCAAAAGTTATCTTTGCCGAATTTATCTGATTTGTAAAAACCTGGACTGGCAAAATTATTTTAAATTTCTCCTCATCCGTGATTTTAAATTTATAAAATGAGCAAGAGAGCTGTGATTGTCATAAAAAAGGCAAAACGCTTTTGAGGTTCCTGTATAAAAGTAAATTTGGCATAGGGAGGGTTCTTTGAATTTTGCTGGAAATTGAATTGGCTACAAAGCTGCTATCTAAAGAGGACGTTACTTATGTTTAACAGCGTCCTTTTATTCTTGATCTCAGCAAGAATATGAGGCTGAGGCAGGAAATGAATCCAATGTTTGGGAACCATTTCCTGTATTAGAAATGAGCAATTTTTTCATCATCGCCCTGGATGCTTTATTGGTCTGACTGGTAGAGATTAACATGCTCTTTCACATCTGTTTTGTATGCTTCTGAATAAATCTTGGAGTATAAGATATTTTTAAAAATATTAACCACAACAGTGATAATACTGGCAAATCAGTGGTAAATAGGTCTGAGAAATTTCATTTGTCATGTATGTATCCTATGTTTTTTTTTTGTTTTTGTTTTTCTTTTTGTTTTCTTTTTCTGTTTTGTGCAAGTCCAAATGTTTATTCTTATTTCCCACCTTTCTAAAAAGGTGGTGTTTTAAAATATTATCCTGCACCTTGCTTTTTTTCCTTAATTTATTTTGGAGATTTTTCCATATCTTTACACAAATCACTCTCTTTTTGGGGGACACAGTTACATAGTATTCCATTATGTAGATACACCACCATTTATTTGTTAGTGTAACTAGTTCCCTATTAATGGACACAGGTTATTTACCATCTTTTGCTATTAGAAATGATACTGTAGCAGATATTGTTTTAAATATGGCTGAATGCAAGTATTTCCAGTGATAGGGTTGCTGGGTCAAAGGGCAAATAGATTTGTTATTTTGATAGGTATTTCCCCATGGCCTTCCATCAGCAGAGTATGTACACTGATGTTCTCTTAATTCCTGGATTTTCTCCAGGTAACAAGTAGGTTAGGGTGAGGCAACCTCTGGCTGTGCCTTTAAGGAGCTGTAGCCAGGGTAGACACACAACTAAAAAAAAGTTACTTAGCATACAGGTGGTAACTTATAATAGTGGTGCTGGGTAAAATGGGAGTATAGCATTAGGATGTGTAAATAGGATAGTTAGGTGGGGAATGGTGCTGGGGAGGGAAAGCTCCCACGGGAGGTGGTTCTCTGTGTTAGGTCTTTTTTTTTTTTAATTTTTTATTTATTTATGATAGTCACAGAGAGAGAGAGAGACAGAGACACAGGCAGAAGGAGAAGCAGGCTCCATGCACCGGGAGCCCGACGTGGGATTCGATCCCGGGTCTCCAGGATCGCGCCCTGGGCCAAAGGCAGGCACTAAACTGCTGCGCCACCCAGGGATCCCTCTCTGTGTTAGGTTTTGAAGAATGAGAACATATTGGTCAAGTCCAGCAGTCTATGTTTTAATAATAAGCCCTCCAGGGGATTCTGACACAAATTCAAGTGTGAGAACCACTGCTCCAGGCAGAGGTTGGCAAACAACTATTTTTGTAAACAAGGGACAAGGTCCCAGGCAGAGGCCTGGGTTTGTGATTTCCTCTAAGGTCTGATGGAGTTCTTTCTGTATCTATGTAAATCAACTCCATGTGAGGACTTTTGTGTTGTTTTTTAACTAGTTCTTTATTTAAAACAAACAGAGTATGGGTGATGAGCCTTCACAGTAATCAAAGAAATACAAATTTGGATCAAATTGAGACAAACTGTTCTAGTGCCAAATTGGCACAGATGGGAAGCTCTGACATTACTAAATGTTGGGAGAGAATGTGGGATGCTGCTGGGGAATGTAAGTTGCTATGACCACTTTGGTAATATCTAATAAAGCTGAATATTTGTATACTCTGTGGCTCAGTAGAGGAAGCAGTTTAGGGTTTACAAGCCATGTACTCTGTCTGAACCATTCAATTCCACTATTATAGTGTGAAAGTAGCCATAAACAACATATGAACTATGAAGGTGTGACTATTTACAAAGAGTCATTTGCCAGCCCTCGAGGGGCTCTCACACATGAATGTGCATCAGAATCACCTGGTAGGTTTATTAAGACGCAGATTAACTGAGCCCCAACCTCTGAGTTTCTGATTCAGGGATCTCGGGTGAGGCCTGAGAATTTGCATTTCCAAAAGTCCTCAGGCAAAATCAATCAGGGATGCTGATTCAAAGGCCACTTTGAGAACCACTGCCCTAGAGAACCTGATGCACTCTGTACAAACATCTTCACAGTAGCTTAGCTCTAAATTTGAAACAATGTAAATATCAACAATAGAACATATAAATACATTGTAGTAAACTGTTAAGCATATTACACAATAATGAGAATGTAAGTAGTATGCCACCCTCAACAACACTGATGTATCTCGCAAACAAAGGACAGAAGGAGGGATCCCTGGGTGGCGCAGCGGTTTAGCGCCTGTCTTTGGCCCAGGGCGCGATCCTGGAGACCCGGGATCGAATCCCACATCAGGCTCCCAGTGCATGGAGCCTGCTCCCTCTGCCTGTGTCTCTGCCTCACTCTCTCTCTTTGTGTGTGACTATCATAAAAAAAAAAAAAAAAAAAACAGAAGGAACACAGACAACTACATACAGTAAGAAGCAATTCATTATAAAGTTCAACAACAGAGGAACTAATCTCTGCTATACATGGGTGGGAAAGCTATGAAAAAAGGCAAAGCAAATGGGCATCTAAACACCCAAGTAGAGCAGCCTGGGTGGCTCAGCAGTGTAGCGCCGCCTTCAGCCCCCAGGGTGTGATCCTGGGAAAGGGATCAAGTCCCACATCGGGCTCCCTGCATGGAGTCTGCTTCTCCCTCTGCCTGTGTCTCTGCCTCTCTCTCTCTCTCTCTCTCTCTCTCTCTCTCTGTGTGTGTGTGTGTGTGTGTCTCATGAATAAATAAATAAAATCTTTTAGAAAATAAACACCCAAGTAGTGGATCCATTAGGAGTGGGAGGACGTTGTGTTCAGAAAGAGACCAGGTCTAGAAGGCTGGAGGTGGTCCGTTAACTTGGATGTGGCTACCTGAATATTGGTTTTATGGTATATTATTTGTTTATGTTGTTTATTTCGCAATGTTTACAAGATGTAAAATGCATTAAGTTGAATCTGATTGTGTAGCTCTGTCCAAAAATGACCTATAAACAGAACTATTGAGTGCTTACTAAAAGCTGAGCAGTGTTTGAATACTTTACCTGTGATGAACACTCTACTTACCTGTATTTATTCAGTTACCCCAAAAGTCCTGTTTGAAGATTTATTTATTTTTAGAGAGAGACCTAGAGTGCAGGCTCAGGTGGGGAGGGACTGAGGGAGAAAGAATCTCAGACTACCCCCTGAGTGACCCCTGAGATCATGACCTGAGCTGAAATCGAGTCAGATGGTTACCTGACAGAGCCACCCAGGTGCCCCAAGAGTCATGTTTAAATAGGGCTATCATTGTTTCCATTTTACCGACAAAGAACAGAGGCACCCAAGCTTAACCGAGCTCCTAAGTATACAGCCAGAGCAGTTTTGTTCTCAGCCTGCTGTATGGCAATGAAGTTTACTTGAAAGGATTTTCACCTCTCATTGACATAGAACTACATCATTGTGGACATTTGATACCAAATGAGGAAACAACCTGATCTGAAGAAACCCATTTACTATTTTTACCTACCATTTCCAATTCTGTATCTAGTGTCCACACAGAACAGGCCAACCTCCTTTCTCCCAGGCTGCCACCAGTCCTTTGTGTCTCTGTTTCTAGTACCTAGCACTGTACTTAGTGCATAAAAAGCCTCAAAGAATTTTCAACTCAGTTCTTGATAGCTTTTCATATATTCAGTTGTTTTTGTTGCAGGTAAACCCTGTTGTCTGCCCTTGTCTGGGTAGCAATCCCCCCTCCACGTTTTTCCCTTCCAGCCTCAATTGATGGTTATTTTGTGATAAAATGTCCAGTCCGTTCCCTCTTGTGGTTGCTTCAAAATTGGTTTGGTTTTTTAATTCGTAAAAACCCAGTACTCAAATCTGTTTTTCAGCGTGGTCTGCAAGATAGTTGTCAGCATTACGAAGAGGAACAGCTTGAGATCTAGGAATTAAGAGAAGCCAGGGCATCTGAAGGTTCCTGTACTTCTTTCCCACTGTGTTCAAGTTCCCTTGGGCTTGCTCGTTCCAATCCAGCAACAGACAGACTCATGGTTTGCTCCTGCTGCTTGTAAAGAGTTTTAGTCAACACACTTAAACAAGATTACTTAATAAAAATTGTCTTTCTATATTGTTAATAGAATGTTTTACTTACAATTTATTTATGATTGATCCATGATTTGTACATTTTAATTTGGGGTGGAATTCTTAGCGTAGATGATTGCAAATATCACTTTAGAACAAGTTTTATGTTTGCAGGTTAGATTATAAAGTACACTACAAGATTATATGCTATTTTTGTGAGTATCATTGCCTTTCATTGATTTTTTTTTCCTCATTTCAAAAATGACGTAATTTGGTAATAAAGGTTTTTCTACCCCGCCCCCCACTCTATTTTAGTGGAGAAACAAGATTCAACAAGGAGAAAATAATTCAAGGTTAGTATATTTTATTTTAGCTGTCTCTTTCAGTGTTAATGTGATATGTGAGTTAATCAGATTTGGTGGGGTAGGGGAGTGGACTGGGGGCAGCTCTGTATCGTGAATAACGTTAGAGAATTAAAGTGTCATAGCCCCTAGAAATATGATCAGAACAGATGGTAACCAAAAGGGAATAAGTTTAAGTGAACTGAATGTAAAGAATAGGATTCCAAGATGTCTATAGGTAGCTTCAAAGTGGCCCAGTCAGCTGATTCAGCAGTTATATTGGGTCTAGTGGTCTTAAAATATAACTGCTGTGATTTAAAATGATTTCATATTTGGAAACATGCAATTTGCTGGCTGGTGTTAATGGAATTTTTCTGCTAAGATAGTTATTTTTAGTAGTAACAAAGAAGAGGTTTAAAAAGAATCCCTCTTCTCACACAGAATTGTTGTTTTATTCTGGACAGATTCTTCCTCTCTTGTTCTGCTAATTTGGATTCAGATCTTTTAATCTCCCTCTGATCCAGTAAGTCTAGCTTTTAAAGACTATCTTGGGTAAACTCTCAGCCAGACAGACTATTTCTGCACTGTGATTATAAAAACATGTAGTTTTATTTCTTTTGGTTAGGGACATCTGGAGTTCGCAGCAACTGATTTTCATACCCAGCGTGACCCATTCCCTCCTCTGAAAACTAGTCTGATGAGTAAATGAACCTTTGTGTTCCAGTGACATGCGCCCCACCCAAATTAGCCTATGGACTTCTGTCCCTTACCACCCTGTCCTTGAGTACTGCTCACCTGTCTCTTTTTTTTTTTTTTTACACCTGTCTCCTTTTCATTAGACCTGACAGTGAAGCAAGAATTAAAGTTTTTGTGGCCATACCAGTTTTTCACATTTGTTTTTTTTTTTTTTTTCCTGATTTTGTCAGTTAGATGCTTAGTTCTTTAAGTTACAGCATTCAAGGCTTATATATTTCCAAGGACCGTTTTTGTTGCGCACCTACAGTTTGGATAGGCAGTAATTTTGTTAAGTATTCAGCACCAGGTGTCTTATTACATTTCCCTTAATGATTTCTTCAGTGATCCATGAAATACTTAGAACTGTTTTTTACATTTCCAAATGACTGAGCTTTTCATTTTTGTTCTTCATCATTTATGATTGACTGCCACTTATATTTTATATTCCAACAAGCTGATTTATTTGATGATGCCTTTTTGAAATCTGTAAATATGGTCAGTGTTTATAAATCTATTGTATGCTCAAGAAAAATCTGTTTTATAATTGTTGGGTTTGGAGTTATATGTCAAATAATCGACCTCTGTTTTGCTGTTCAAATCTATGTTTTGTTAATTTTATAAATTTACTAATTTGTGTGCATGACTGAAATATCAGTTAATGGGTGAGAGTGGAATTGCCCACTGTGATGGGCAATTTATCGTTTAGTGCCTGACATCCTATCAATTTGTACTTTATGTCTGCTCTCATTATACTTAGAGACTGTTTTATTAGGCATATATACAAATTTAAAAATTGTTCTGTCTTCCTAGTGAATTGGATCATTGATTATAGTAATCCTCACAATCCTAAGACTTTTGTCATAAAGTCTTGCATTTTTTTTTATTTTTTTATTTTTTATTTATTTATTTTTTTATTTTAATTTTTTTATTTTATGATAGTCACACAGGGAGAGAGAGAGAGGCAGAGACTTAGGCAGAGGGAGAAGCAGGCTCCATGCACCGGGAGCCTGACGTGGGATTCGATCCCAGGTCTCCAGGATCGCGCCCTGGGCCAAAGGCAGGTGCCAAACCGCTGCGCCACCCAGGGATCCCCAAGTCTTGCATTTTTTAGTGTAATATAGCTTCTCCAGCTGTTTTGGGTTTGGAATTTGCCTGGTGTATGTTTTTCTCTTGCATTCCTTTCAGCCTTTTTGTGTGCTGATGTCTTAAGTGTTACCTCATTAATGCTTGAGGCTGATTTTGGTTCTTCTCCATCCTCCCCCCACCTTCCTTTCCCTTCTCTTCCTTCTCCTTTTTCCTCCTCCTCCTCCTTTCTTCCCTTCCCCTCCCTACTGGCTTTGGAATGATAAACTCTTTCTGTTCTTTCAATATTTTTACCATTCATGTCTAATGAAGTGTAATATCAATATCTCCGTTCCCCCCAAAATACAAAGAACTTACATGACTATTGCTTAGTAGCTTAGCCCTATCCTTTTTTAACCACATGACATAGGCATTATTATTTGATTTATTATTTAGATTATTAGATTGTTTGGATTGTTTAGGTATATATGTATATTTATATTTATATTTATATTTACCAGTTTCTTTCCTCATTTCTTTTGCATCTCAGAACTTCATTCCTGAAATATTTTCTTTGAAAGGGCCCCTAGGGTAGATTGGTTGGTGGTAAAGATAGTTTTAATTGTTTCTATTCCAGACAATTCTATTTTTATTCTATTCAACCATTTTTAGCCTAGACAATTTAGACTGACAGTTCTCTTAGCACTTGGAAGATATTATTGTGCTGTTTTTTTGGCTGCCATTGCTCCTGTTAAGAAGTCTTCTGTCAGCCAAATCATGTTCCATGCTTAGCAATCTGTCTCTATCTGCAACTGCTTTTAAAAATCTTTTGTTTGATTGTGGTATTCTGTAGTGTCCCTTAATAGATCTAGGAGGGATTTTTTTTTCTTTTAATTTATTCTGCTTTGTGTTTTATCTGTAGATTTATGTCTTCTGTCATTTCTGGAAAATTCTCAGCCATTTTCTCTTCATATTTTCTCTCTTCCATTTTCTTTTTTCTGGAGTTCCAGTCAGATGTATGTTAAGGAATACCAATCTCTCCTTCATGTCTCTAAGAGATGTGAGATGTGTTTCATCTCCTTTGTGCTGCATGTGGGATGATACCTCAGCCCTGTCTTTGAGTTCATTAAGCCTTTCTGTTACTAGATCTCCCTTTATCCACTGAAGGATTGTTTCCCTCTTCAGCAAATCTATTTTTCTTTTTTTTTTTTTAATTTTTTAATTTATTTATGATAGTCACACAGAGAGAGAGATAGAGGCAGAGACACAGGCAGAGGGAGAAGCAGGCTCCATGCACTGGGAGCCGACGTGGGATTCGATCCCGGGTCTCCAGGATCGCGCCCTGGGCCAAAGGCAGGCGCTAAACCGCTGCGCTGCCCAGGGATCCCAAATCTATTTTTCAATACTAAAAGATCTGTCTGGTTCTTTTAGAAAGCTTTTTGGTTGTTCTTGATAGCTTCTTCTTACTTACTTTTGTGATTCTGTTTTTATGTTTTATTCAGTTTATAGTCTGCTGATTTCAGTGTCTGAAGTATAAATAAATATATGATTCTGAGTCTGTTATTTGTTGTTTCTCCTTTCATTCACAGTGGATTATTTTCTTGTATGTCAAGTTTTTGACTGAACTCTTATTTGTGCTTGTAAATGGAGTGAAGTTAACCAAGCTGTCCTAGATTATGAAAATCGTGAGTGAACACCCAAGCTGGCAAAATTAAACTACTCCTTTGGGCTCAGAATGAGCTGGACCAGGAAAAAGTAAAATATCCCAAAATGACAGACCTCAGCAAAGGTGTGATCGAGGAGCCCAAGTAGAGTCTGTGCCCGGGGCCCTGTACTTCCCCGGCACAGACTCCTCGGAGCAGCTGTCTGTGACTCAGAGATTTTTACTGCAGTAGAGAACTCTTTTTCCCCCTTTTCTTTCTTTTCTTTTCTTTTCTTTTCTTTTCTTTTCTTTTCTTTTCTTTTCTTTTCTTTTCTTTTCTTTTCTTTCTCTTTTCTTTTCTTTTCTTCCTTTCCTTTCCTTTCCTTTCTTTCTTTTTCTTTGTTTCTTTGTTTTTTCTTTGTTTTTTTCTTTCTTTCTTTCTTTCTTTCTTTCTTTCTTTCTTTCTTTCTTTCTTTCTCTTTCTTTCTTTCTCTTTCTTGTCCTTCCTTCTTTCTTTCTTTTCTTTTCTTTTCTTTTCTTTTCTTTTCTTTCTTTTTTCTTTCTCCTTTTCTCTTTTCTTGCTTTCTGACTCAGCATCTTTTTTAAGGGAAACGTGGCCCTTTTAAGTGCTGGAAACTGAGCACTGAATGGCACTGTCTCTTTGGCAGTGCGGTGCAGACTCTGCTCTGGCGCGCTCTGAAGGCAAGGTCGGGCATCGGGGCGCTCCTGCTGTTTGGCTCCTGAAGTATCGCACCCCCGTGGAGTGCGCGGTTAGGAGGGGATATTGTTGAACTGAGGACTCCCACTCAAACCTACGAAAAGCACTGATCATTATTTTGCTTTGTTAGCTTATAGGCAGAACATATGTTTTCTCAGATCTCCCAAGACTCGTCAGGCCTTTGTGGAGAAGTTTTCTTTTTCTCTTACCCCTTGGTTTTTTGTTTTTGTGCTTTCATAGGAAAGACTATATAAATTTGTAAATCCTAAAAAAAAAAAAAAAAAATTTCCTGTTGGAATGGAAACTTGTTAGCATGTATTTAGTCAGATTTGCTCTGAAGTGAATTTGCATTTGATTTTACTACTGACCTTAGACTACGCTAGCTTTCTTAGAGGATCTTTTGCTTCTGGGAGTGGTGAGTTCAGTCCACCTACCTTGCTGTGCCATGCAGCGAGACTGCCCCCCCCAACCCCGCGTTTGTGCTGTTACCCTGGCAACTCCATTTTTTTAGTGTTAATATTCAGGTTTCAGCTCTGGGTATTTTGGTGGCTTTGCTTTTCCTCTTAGAGATTTTCCTTAGACCTTGTGAGCAAGACACACACACACACACACATGCATTTAGTTCTTTTGCAATAAGAGGACCCTTTGGAGTGTTTAATCAGACATTAAATGTTTATTTAATGTTTATTTAACATTAAGAAATGTTAACCTTGAAATGAAGGTTCCAAAGTTGTTTTATTTTTGGTTTTTGTTGTTGTTTTTAAAGAGAAGGAAGGAAGGATGAAAGGAACCAAGGATGAGGGGAAATAATAAAATATTGCACATTTGGGCAGTGGAGATAAAGAAGGGAAACTTTTTAGGTGAGGATCCTACCTTTGAAATGTAGCACCTGGTTTGAGAACTTAAGATCAGAGCCAGCATTAATAAAATACAGCTAATGAAATGGTGAGCAGACATGAGAGAGGGGAGAGCTGGAGACAACTGAATTCTCATCATCGAATTCCCATTAGACATTCTTTTGGGAAACATTTGAATACCTGAGCCTTTATGGGATTATAGCTTAATCTTACTTGCTTGAAAAGTTATATAGAAAAGTACCCAAGGAAATCTTTTAATAAAATGTAGATAAATTCTGTTTATATTTTTTTACATGTGATTTATTTGCATGTGTTGTATTTATATTTGAATGTTACTGTTGCTTCTCTTACTACCACAGGACAAGGAGTAGATGAGCCCCTTTCAGAAACTGGATTTAAACAAGCTGCTGCTGCTGGCATATTTCTTAATAATGTGAAGTTTACTCATGTTTTCTCCAGTGACCTCATGAGGACAAAGCAGGTATGTTTGAAGTCAAGGTTTCCTTTAGAGTTAAAGTCTCCATGGCTATTACCTTGAAAACTGCTTCCAGAGTCTGTAGGAAATTCAGTCACATGCAGGTACCATCCCCAATCCTCTTCTTCCTCCACCAACAGAACTTTCTTTTCATCTTACTTTGTACTTTTATTTTGGTAATTTTTTAATTAAAGTAGATTGGGGAAAATGTCTAACAAAATATCTTTAAAAAGATAAGGTTAATGAGGAAGAGTCAGCAGAAACACCAGATGGGGGAATTTAACCCATTACAAACATCAAATGTTGGCATCCAGACACCGTTAAAAAAGCAAACAACTATGTAACTGTAAAGAAATAAAAGACATGTTTAGAATATCTTTAAGGAACAGATTACTATAAAAATGACCCCAGTAAATTAAAAAGGAACCAAATACATCTCTAAAGACTCAGTGGAGGGAATAATTCCCCATGAGGAAATAATAGAGTTGGAATATAGTCACCCTGCGTAAGCAACTAGAGAAACAGGGCAAAATTTGTGAAACAGCTGTTTGCAGACATTGGACTTTAGACAGTGTGGGCCTGTGATCCCCAAATGAGGTGAACCCTTGGATTGCCCTGGTGTTCCACCTGAAGCAATTTCCCAGTGCTGCTTGGAGAAGGCAAATAGAGCCAGTCATCTCAGTGAGTTGAAGAGATATGCTTGGAATCTGGGGAGATTAAGTAAGGATTGTGGGGCAGAGTGCTGGAAGAGGGAGCTGCACAGGGAAAGAACTCTAGAAATACCTATAGGGATCCCCTGAAATCTTTGGTGGACTAGAGTCTGCATATGCGTAGGTGAAAATGCATGAAGCCAGATATAAAACATAACTGCTAGGGAGAGAACAATTGCTCTCCCTAGAGGAACCAGAAGCCAGTCAGTTTCAAGGGCTCACACAGGTTGGGACTGATTTGAGTTCCTACCATGCAAGTTGGAGAGATTTTGTTAGATCACACCTGAATAGTGGGGCTGGTCTGTGCTCAAAGGAACAAAATGAAAGAAATAGAAGATTAAAAAGAACCAAATTCATCTTCTTGAGATCAAAAATATATATAGTATTCCCAAATGAAAATTTCACAGGAGGGGATTACCAGCAGATTAGACACTGATAAAGAAGAGGTCAATGAACATGAAGTCATAGAAACAAATTACAAAATTAAGGAAGAAAGAAGACTAACAATGGAAAAAAGGGGGCACCTGAGTGGTACACTTGGTTAAGTATCTGATTCATGATTTTGGCTCAGGTCATAATCTTATGGGTCATGGGATTGAGCCCCTTGTCAGGTTCTACACTGAGGGAAATCTGTTTGAGATTCTCTCCCTCTGTCACTTCTCCCACTCATGTATGCTCATGCTCACGTGCATGTGTTCTCTTCTTTCTCACTCTCCCTCAAATAAATAAAATGATCTTTAAAGGAAAATGAAGAGTTTCAATTGAGGGACCTGAAATAGACCCATACTAATACGGTCAGGTTGTTGTTGTTGTTGTAGATTATTTTTTCCATTGGTTTGTTGTTTTGTTGTTGTTTTTGTCATTGGTCTTTTTGAGTCCTCTTTTTATTATTTTTAAAGGAGTCTGACTAAAGGTTTTATTGATCTTTTCAAAGAATAAAAAAAAATAAAAAATAAAAAAGTCAGCTCTTGGTTTCATTGATCTGTTCTATTCTTTTTTAGTTTCTACTTCATTTATTTCTGCTCTTTATTATAATTTTCTTCCTTCTGCTGGTTTTAGGTTTTGTTCAAGTTCCTTTAGGTGTAAGTTAGACTGTTTATCTGAGATTTTTTTGCTTCTTGAGGTAGGCCTGTATTGCTATAAACTTCCCTCTTAGAATAGCCTTTGCTGTGTCCCAAAGAAAAATCTTGGACCCTTGTGTTTTCATTTTAATTTGTTTCCATGTGGTTTTGATTTGTAGTTCCCTGATGATGAGTGATGTTGAGTATCTTTTCATGTGTCTGCCATCTGGATGTCTTTTTTGGAAAAGTGTTCATGTCTTCTGCCCATGTCTTAACTGGGTGGTGTTTTGGGTGTTGAGTTTGATGAAAGTTCTTTTGTAGATTTTGGACATTAATCCTTTATCATATATGTCGCTTGCAAGTATCTACTCCCATTCCATAAGCTCCCTTTTAGTTTTGTTGATTGTTTCCTTTGCTGTGCAGAAGCTTTTTATCTTGATGAGTCCCAGTAGTTCATTTTGTGGGTTCTTCATTTCTGATTCTTTTTTATCTTGGTGTTTAAGGGTCTCACTGATGTCCTCCACTCTTTTCTCAACTTCAGGGAATATCTATTTGAGCATTACTCTAAATTCTCTATCAGACATATTACTTCTCTCCATTTCACTTAGGTTTCTTGCTGTGATTTTGGGGCATATTCCTGTCTCCTCATTTTTGTAACTCGCTGTGTCTGTTTCTGTGTCTTAGGAAAGTCAGTGATGTCTCCTGCTCTTGAAAGGCCTTATGAAGAAGTCCTATAGTGCCCTGCGGTGCAGTGTGCCCTGTTCATTGGAACCTGGCGCTTCAGGGGTGTCTCCTGTGTGCCTTTGTGGCTGAGCCACTTTGCTTTCGGTCTAATTGTGTACAGAGGTTCTCTTTGTCGTGGGCGGGGTGTGGTCCCTGTGATGTTAGGGGGCCCTTCTGGGGCTACCATGGGCTAGAGGTGAGTCTGAACTGGCATTTGCTGAGACAGCACTAAACTGCAGGGCAGTTGCCCTGTGTTGTCCTCCAAGAAGTTTTCACTGATGGGCAGGGCCTGCAGTCAGACCAGTTGTCTGTCTTCAGCCCACTGCTGGGACCGCAATCTGACTCCTGTGTGGGGTTATTTTTTCCTCTCCCAGGGCAAGAGTCACTTTGGAGTGGTACCGGCCACTGTAGGGGCTACTTGCACATGTCCAGGCCTGTGACACCACCGTGTATGGGCTAGGTCAACAGTGTAGTGGAGGGGGTGGTCCACGAGGTGCTAGAGGGCAGGGTGGCATTGTTAACAAGTTAGGTAGTGAATAGTCTGCCTCACTGATTCCTATAGGCAGCCATGTGTTTATGCTGTGGGGCAGGGGAGGGAAATGATGCGTGTCAGCTCCCTTGTTCCTAGAGGAGTCTCCTGTGACTGCTGCCCCTCTGGACATGCTCTGAGATGAGTGAATAACTCTCCCTCCTGTATGCCCCAGGAATTTTTTTAAAAAGGTTTTATTAATTTATTCATGGGAAACAGAGGCAGAGGGAGAAGCAGGCTCCCCGTGGGGAACCGGACGCAGGACTAGATCCCGGATCCCCAGACAAAGGCAGACGCTCAACCACTGAGCCACGCAAGAGTCCCCCCAGGCATTTTTCACTGCTGCTTCTGTGCCGTATCTTGTTGAGCAGTTTGTTGTGCTGTTTCTTAGAGGACCTGGACTCAGCTTTCTCTTGCCCTCCAGGCTCTCCCAGAGCCAAGCCTATTGATTTTTTAAATTCTAGGTTTTAAGTCCCGCTGATAGTAAGAACTCACAAAATTTGGACTCTCTGGTTTTCAAAGCCAAATGTTATGGGGGGATTTGTCTTTCCCACGCAGGCTTCCCTATGTGAGGATCTGTTTCTCTTCCTTCTCCAGGCCTTTGGTTCCTTCCCTCCTGCACATAGCCTGTAGGTCTATTTAGGTCCCCATCACATCTCTGCCTCTCCTACTGTCTTCAGTGTGGCCTCTTCCTCTACCTTTAGTTGTGGAATTTGTGCTGTCAGTCTTTGGGTCATTTTCAGGGTTACTTACACTGATGTGAATGTTGCCTAATATATCCCTGGGAGGGGGTAAACTTAGGTTCCTCCTACTCCACCATCTTCCCTGAGAGTCCAAATCTTTTTTTATCAATTGGGTTTTGACAAAGGTATGAAGTAATCCAGTACTTGAAAGGTACTCTTTTCAATGAAAGGTGCTGAAATAATGGACTACCCATATGGAAAAATATGAAATTTTGGCCTTTACCTCATACAGCACAATGTAATAAACAGATTAAAAATATGAGAGTTTAGGGATCCCTGGGTGGCGCAGCGGTTTGACGCCTGCCTTTGGCCCAGGGCGCGATCCTGGAGACCCAGGATCGAATCCCACATCGGGCTCCCGGTGCATGGAGCCTGCTTCTCCCTCTGCCTATGTCTCTGCGCCTCTCTCTCTCTCTCTCTCTCTCTGTGACTATCATAAATAAATAAAAATTTAAAAAAAAATTTAAAAATATGAGAGTTTAAAAGAAATGAACATGATAAGGTCTAGTGTCCTCAGAATGAGAAAGGGATCAAAGAAGTCATAGTTGATTTTACAGAACTGTTGGAAGATCATATTATCAGATCTGGAATGGGTGATAAATCCCAGTCAGAATAAATAAAAAGAAACCCATATGTACGCTTAAAATAACAAAATTGCAAAACTCCAAAGAATAAGGACAAACATCATCCACTAATGGACTATCAACAAACTTGTCAGTATCAGTAATATATATAGATTTTTAATGTACCAAGTGATAATAGAGACTAACCTAGAATTTTATACCCAGCAAAACATTTTCTAGAGTATAGATGAAGACCTATTTCGGATGAACAGGTTATAAAGAAACTTTGAAAGGGTAATTGAAGAGGGAGAATAATAACCAGAAGGGAGCTCTGGTTTCAGAAAAGATTGGTGAGCACACACAGTGGTGAAAGTAAAGATCAATGTGAACAAACATTAATAGCAGACAGCCATAATGATGATAATGTTTAATTTGTGTGGAAGGGATTAAAAAAACAAGGCAAATTGTGGACTTAAATTATCTCTATGGTTTTGCAAATACAGTGTCTGTTGTCAGTCACACCAGGAGAGAAGGGAACATGAACAAAAATGAGCCTAAATAAAAGACAACAGAACAGCTGTAGGAGTTCTTTGATAACTGGTCACCAGACATGGACTTTAAAATAACCATTGAAGGGCACCTGGGTGGTTCAATGATTGAGCATCCACCTTCAGCTCAGGTCGTGATCCCAGGGTCCTAGGATTCAGTCCTGCATTGGGCTCCCCACAGGGAGCCTGCTTCTCTCTCTGCCTGTGTCTCTCATGAATAAATTAATGAAATCTTTAAAAAATAAAATAGAATAACTATTGAGTGCATAGATTAAAAAATGACATTGAAAATTTCAGTAGAGAACTGGAAGTGACGTACAAGAACCAAACTCGGATTCTAGAACTGATGAAAATGTAACTGAAATTAAGACTCAGTAGATGGGTTTAACAGCAATTTAAATTGCTGCACCTGAATGGATAATTAATGAATTGGAACCTTTTCTGTAAAGGACCAGATAGTACATATTTTAAGTTTTATGGGTTACATGGTCTCCATCACAATTGTTCAACTCTGCTGTTGTACCATGAAAGCAGCCACAAACAATAAATGAGTGGCTGTGTTCTAATAGATCTTCATTTACCACAAGCCATGGTCTGGATATGGGCTGCAGTTTGTTGACATCTGGACTAGAAGACAGTATTATTTCCTTAGAAGGGAATACTCAAATCCGTGTGAAGAGACAAAGGGTGAACAGCACAGAAGAGAGGCAACATTCACAAAGGAAAATTATTCCTAGTTCTTTTAAATTTTACTATGATGTATTTTGACATTTTGGCCAGAATGACTATTGTTTTGGGAAAAGAAACTGTTGTCTTTCCATTTTCAGACTGTGCGTGGGATTTTGGAGAAAAGCAAAGTTTGCAAAGATTTGACAGTAAAGTATGATCCAAGACTTCGAGAAAGAGTAAGTAATAACTTACACATATTCTTCACCAAAAATTATGAGTAAACCACCTCAGTTTATCTGATGCATTCTTTTTTTTATTTTATTTTATTTTTTTTTTAATTTTTATTATTTTTTTTATCTGATGCATTCTTGATAGGGATGTGGAATCAGCTAACATGTTAAGAACCTGCTATGTGAGATTGGCTGTTACATATGCTCATAGATAGTATCTTATTTAATTATTAAATGTGTGTGAGGTAGGCATCCTAAATTATAAATGCAAGATCTGTTCATTAAGAACTAGTAGAGAAGAGTTTGAGGTAAAAGTACAAAGTTCTCTTCTCAGCCTCCATGTCCTACTTCCTGATTTTAAGCTTTAGTAGACTCTCTTATGTACCAGAAATGAATCTTGCTGAAATAGTGATTTAGCTAAAGCCATACCTCAATTTCAGATCTGAGATTTGATCCCAGACCTCCTCCTAGAGCAGTAGTTTTGCTCTGCAATGCAGGCCTGTAAGCGGGCTAATGTCCCTGGCAGCCCTATGATTTCTTCTACCTGAATGGAAGTATCGAATGACTAGGGCATCTTTAAAGAATTGCTTTTCAGGACTTGCATGTGTTCTCTATTCTTGTCCAAAATTTATGCTAGAGTTCCTCAGAGATCCTGCTTGGAAAGGCTCACTCTGTGCCTCTGAACCAAGCAAGCATTGTGAGTTCAGCGGTGGGGCGCTGAATGAGGCCTGTCATCACAAAGTAGGGAGAGAGCATTGTCATTGGATGGGCTGGCTGTTCTCACTCTGCTCTCTCTCCCTCAGTAGCATCCTCTTCTGTGATTTCAATTGATTTCCATATATTTATATACATTTTAGCTTGGATCTCTTGCCTAAGCTCAGATATCAAACTGCCTACTTTTTATTTCTGCATGTGTGCCCCACAGCTACTTCCAGCTCAGTGGAACACCCCACCTTTCCTGGAACTGGCTCCTGCTTTACCCAATTCCTCAAACCACACATTCTTGACTTCCTTGCCTCCTACCATCTCGTCACTTTTGCTGTTGTGTAGTAGTTCCTGAACCCTTGTCCCTCTGCCAACCCACTGCTGCCATCCTGAACTGCATCTGGTGTTCTCTGTCACCTAGATCACCGGGAACAGTGATTCTCCTGTCTTTGGACTGGTGCTTGCTTTTCTAATCTCATCTTCATGCTGCTGCCAGAGTACTCTTTGGAAAACGGGGTTGCTACGTACCTGTGTAAAACAGTTCACTGTTTCTATTCTACCTTCAGGAGCCCATCCAAGCTCCAGCTTGGCTTATCAGCTGTAGGATATGATCTGTTGCCTCCATCTGCCTTCTGCCTCCTTCCTCTCTCCTGTGCTTGATGCCCAGCCTTAATAATATTAGCCAGCATTTGCACAGTGCTCCCCACCCTCTGGCCCTGCTCCAAACCCTGCGGGTTTGTTAATCTTCACAGCATGCTGATGTTGTGAAGATTTAGAAACCTCTGTTTTTACAGTTGTAGAAAGCAAGGCACACCGAGATCAAGTCCATGCCCAGAGTCCTAGGGCCAGTACATGGCACAGCTCAGATTCAAATTAAGGCCATGTGGCCCTGGGTTCCATGTTCTGGACCACTGATGATAGGCCTCTCATGGATCTTCTCAGTGTTGCCCAAACACCTTGTGCTCTTGCCTCACTGAACTTCCGAATCCATGCTCCACTGTATCTGGAATACATACTCTCCAAACCTGGCTGGCTTCCATTCCAACCCCAGGGCTTTGGCTTCTGCAGCCCCGCAAATGCAGATTAGCCATCTCTGCTGTGTGTGTCTGTGTCCAGTAGTTCTTTCCATTACGACATTCTTCCCCTACTGTTCTAGGGTAGTACCCCACCACACTGCAGTCTCAGCAAGGATGGGGAGCTGCAGACTCCTGGTCTCTTCTCTGCTCTTGCCTCATGGCCCGATGTGTTTCAGCATAGCATTTGGAATATTTAATGAATGGATGTCTCCATTCCTGAGAAAACAAACCAAGTAATTTTTAACATTTTCTACGATAGAGGTTGTTCCAGTTATGAGGATGAAAGACTTTGAACTTGAGAATTGGAAGAGCATCTGACAAATGTGCATATGGTCTTAGAAAAAAATAACATTTAGTTGTTGGACTTCTGTCTGGTGGTGGTAGAATTTTGGGGCATCATCAGTGTAAGCCATAAGCAATGATACATCTCTAAATATTTTATTATGCAAGTAATCTGTTATTGTAAGGAATTAAAAGTAAGAACAGTTTGGGGAAAAATACAGTTAAAATGTCTACCATGCACAAATACTGTCAACATTTTGGTAGGTGTTCTCTTGACTTCTTTTCATGTTCATCTGTTAGTCTTTCAGTCTATCTGATTGTGTTCACATTTTTCTAAATGTACCTCTATGTGTGTGTTTTTTTTTTTTTTTTTAAGATTTACTTATGTGTTTTAGAAAGAGTGAGAGGGAGCAAGCACAAGTGGGGGGAGTGGCAGAGGGAAAAGGAGAGAATCTCAAATAGACCCCCTCCCTCCCACTGAGTGTGGAGCCCAACACAGAGCTCAATCTCATTACCCCAAGATCATGATTTGAGGTAGAACCAAGAGTCAGACACTCAACTGACTAAGCCACCCAGGCACCTCTATATGTGTTGTTTTTTAACTAGCTTTTTCCTCTGTTTTTCAGTGCTAATAAATGTACATGGATATGATCACTTAGTGACTGTATTATTCCAATACGTGGATATTACATAGCTACTACTGGTGGATACCTAGGTTGTGACTAGATTTTCTACTAATGTAAATAATGTTAAAATAAACCTCTTTGTAATCAATTCTTTATACACACACCTAATACGTTTCCTAGAAGTGGAATTGGTGAATATATACTTTTTTAAAGCCTTGTATATTGCTAAATTTCCTTTCAGAAAAGTTGTGCCACTTTATACTTAGACGAATAAGATAGGAGAAAGTTTTTCTCATGTAAACTCTAGCTGTTGGTAGTCTTCTTGGTCCTCTAGTTTAATAGCACCTGCAAGGTGCCATCTTAATTTTCACTTTTATGGATTCTTGGTGAGGTAGATATCTTGTGTTTTTTTGGTCATTTGTATTTCTTTTGTGACTTCTGTGTCCTTTGCTATGGCTCAGTCTTTATGAATCTAAAGAGCTAATGAGCTTTGAAAACACACATATATGGGTTTGAATTTCAACTTTGCTGATTTTGGGAATACAGGCTAATTGCTTAACCTCTCTGAAACTCTGCTTTCCCATTTATAGATATAGAGATGAAAATACCCATCTCACAGTGCTGTTATTAGGATCAAATGAGACAGTATGTATGAATGTGAGGTGGCTGACTTGCTGTGCTTCACATATTAGTCTGTGGCCCTGTGGTCTGTGCAAATCTCTGTATTTGTCCAGTAAAGCTCCACCCACCATCTACTTGAGTGTGTTCCATAGAACCTGTCTGGACACAGTGTACAATGTAAGATGTTAACTGAATTTTCTAGGGTTTGCAGCCTCTACGGAATATGTTCTCATTATCAGTTTAAAAATAGTGAGTGGAAGGAAACCAAGCATCTTGCCAGAGTGCTCCAGTTTTGCCACAAGCATGTATTCAGTTGTCTTTTTACAAATTCATTTGAGGCACTTTTGTCTATTTGACCCTTGCAGAAATATGGGGTTGCGGAAGGCAAGGCCCTCAGTGAGCTAAGGGCAATGGCCAAAGCAGCTGGGGAAGAATGCCCTGTATTCACACCACCTGGAGGAGAGACCTTAGACCAGGTGCGTAGCCCGGGGTGAGTTGCTCCGTGGATGAACTTGCCAACATCAGAGTAGGTAAAATTGGGTTTCTTTTGTAAATGGGATGTCTCTACTCTAAATCTTAGCTAAGCAGTTTGAAAGTTGTCTGGTTCATAAAACAACTCTGCACAGTGTGTTCATTTTTCCTTTTTAAGCTGTCTTTCTTATTTACTCTTAAGTTGGCAGTCATTGCCAATACTGGATTTAAAGTACGTGTGTTATTAGATGATTCTTGAAGAAAAGTCTTTGAATATGAAGCAGTAACTTTAGCAGTGGTAGTGGTAGGCAGGAGAGTGAGTGCGGTGCTGCTCAAGGAGAGTGGGAGGCAAAACGGTTCAAAACTCGAAATCTTCAGGCCTCTCCTCTCTCATCTTTCACTCTGTAAGTGACCTCATCACCACACTTGCATTTCGTTGGAGTGTTCTGCTTTTGGATTGCATTATTGGGGATTTTCCCCCCTATTTTTTATTTTCATAATTTTCTTGTAAAGGCTATTAGCTCAGTAAAGGCAAGATTTTTTATCCTTGTTGGTGGTTGCTCTAACCAGACTGATTGCTCTAGATGTAGTTTCATAGTTAACACTCTTATGGGCTTCTTTTTTACTTGTAAATTGCCCTAACTAGATTGTAAGTGCTTTGAAGGAAAGAATTAGAAATTGTGTCTTACTCTTCTTTGTTCCCTAATGTGCTTCCATCACTCCAGAAATACGGTAGAGGCTTTTACTGCTGATCAGTTAACAAACAGAATTCTATCTGCTTATGTCATCCCTACATTGACATATTCGAAAAATCCAATCACTTGTGTTTTATGTTTATGTTTTAAGGCAATCATTAATGTCACTTTATTTTAATTTCTTCTCTTGTAGGTGAAAATGCGTGGAAAAGACTTTTTCGATATTCTCTGTCAACTGATCCTGCGAGAAGCGGGTCAAAATGAACAGTGTTCCCAAGGAGCTCCAAGCAACTCTCTAGAAACTTCTCTAGCAGAGATATTTCCTTTAGGAAAAACGTGTGCTCCTGAATCTAATTCAGACAGTGCTGCACCAGGATTAGTTGCCAGTGTCTTAGTTGTTAGTCACGGCGCTTACATGAAAAGCCTGTTTAATTATTTTCTAACTGACCTTAAGTGTTCCTTACCCACAACTCTGAACAAATCCGAATTTATGTTGGTCAGTCCCAATACAGGGATTAGTCTCTTTATCATAAACTTTGAGGAAGGAAGAGAAGTGAAGCCAACAGTTCAGTGTGTTTGTATGTACCTACAGGATCATCTGAATGGAGTGACCGACAGTCACTAAAATGTAAATTGACATCCAGATCTAGCAATTTTGAACTTTTGAGGGAGTGCCTTTGGCTTTATTTCCATCCTCTGCTAGTGCTGACTTGGAAACAGTTAAAAAGCAATTACAGCAGTTATAAAGGTTGTATGGAATCATGGCCACAGAGAACACTAATGGAAACCACTTAGGATTGACTTATTTTGTCTTGAGTACAGTTGGCATTTTCCAAAGTAATTTTACTGCCCTGTTCAGTTACGTCTCTGGATTGTAAATGAATTGAGGAATTCAGTATTGCAAATTGAGGGATTCACGACCTCATAACTATGTTTTTTCGTTTTCTTTATGTTGATACTTTAATATCTGAAAAATCTAGCCTATTCTATTGGCTCTTGGTAAGATGCTGTATGTTTTTTACTATATCACCCAGTGCTTTAAAAGAAGGAAAAGAAGGTACTATTTATAATTCCCATTGAATATTTATAGTGAGAACATATTGTATTTTAGAAGTCCGTTAAATTAAAAATTCTTAACCATCCTCAGTTTTATATAAAGCAAAATGACACTAAAATTTTTAATATAGAAATCAGCTGTTGAAATTTTTTTACTGTAGAGGGTTTGAAATGTGGATGAATGGATATTATGGTTGCAGGTTGGTCTGGTGAGGAAGAATGGAAAGCATTTGACTAAGACACATTAAAGAAGGAATCTCTGATCAAAAGAAGATAAAAGAGCAGGTCTTTCTCATCTGATTTATAGGCTGAAGAGTTTAGTTTGGGGAAGGTTCTAAAGTCAGTAAGTGGTTACTGGTGTACTACATGGTAACCTCAGAAGGAAGGGGGGGATGCTTCCTTGGAAAGAACCTTGTTCTGATAACCTCACTCCTCAACTGTGGGTTTGTGTGGTAGGTACAGTTGCCTCTTTTTTCCACCAGGTGGCACTGGAGAAAAGGGATTTTGGTTAACTGAATTTCGTACACAAGGTTGGCTCCTCAAAAATCCTCATCTAAATGAGTGTTTTCCATGTAGTTTGCTTTTAAGTTATCATGCTGATGAATGCTTTGAGTCTCACCTTACAAGAGTATTAATACTAAAGCATGTCACTTAAGGCCAAAATCACATATAGTCAAAATTTACTTTGGACAGCTTGTCAGTCATGTGTAAAGTTAACCTGTGTGTCCATCCCTGCTCTTTGCCTGCCAGTGCTGGAAGAGAGCACGTGGTTGAGCACTAGAGTGAGGACTCCACAAGTGAGAACTTGAAAGGGGAATTGAAAAGGAAGAATTCTCACCATCCAGAAATAATTACTTCCCCTTCTTCCTTTAAAAAAAATTTTTTTTTTAAAAGAAGTAACACGTTGAGATGTAAGTGAAGTTCCTTTAACTAGTTCCCACAGTGCTATGCCCCTCTTGTACTCTGCAGAGGCCACTACCATGGTGCGTCTATATGTATTTTCATCCATTCTTGACGATTTACCTAGGATCATAAGACAATGGTATTGCTTCAATGTTTTTTAAAATGTACCTAAATATCATCAATCTGTACTCTTTATTTTCACTTATTATATCATGCAGTTCTATCTATGTTGGTATGTATGGATGTACTTATTATCACTGTATTCTGTTAAATAAACGTGGCACGTTTTCATTTGGTCTCCTGTAGAGGACATTTGAGTACACTTAGTATTTTCTTTCAGGCAACAGCCTTTTGCTTCTTTCTTGGTACTGTGGTGTAAAAAATGTGCATCCTGTTTGACAAGAGTCAAATAGATTTTCAAAATGCCTGGCTTGGTTCTTCATCTCTCTGGCAATATTCAAAAGTTCCTGTTTTCCACATTTCTGTTAGCACTTGATACTATCTGAGGAAAATCTGTGAATCTGATGAGTGAAAAACATAATGTCGTTGTTTTAATGAGCTTGTATGTGACTGCTAACGTGTCTGGGCATTTTTCTCATATGTATTGACAGGATCCCCTCACTGGTGAATCACTGGTATATGCTCTTTGTTTTTTTGTTGGGCTCTGGATTTTTCTTAGTGAGCTGCAGAGGTAACTGCAAATATCTTCCAGTTTACTTGCCTTTTATATAATGTTTGTTAAGCATTTTTTTTTCATAGAAGTGTTTTTTGATATTAAGTCAGATCATTTTATCATGGCTATTATGGTTTGTGGGGTTTGTTTTGGTGTCTTTCAGAAGCTTTACCTACTGGGAGGTCATATAGTGGCTTCCTACTTATATCTTTAAAGGGGTTTTTTTTTTTTTTTGAATGCTGTATCATAGATTATTTGGAGTTAATAACTTTTGTACATTATATGGTAAGAATTCAATTTTGTATTTTTTTCCCATATGGTAAAAAAGTTACCCTAATGTCATTCTTAGGAGTCTTCTTTCTAAATGATTTGTGGGTTCTACTGTACTAAAACCTCCATGGCCCATATTTGCTGGAATATGTCTGTGGGCTTGGTTCTGTTTTAGTGAGCTATGTATTCCCATACCAGTATCATACTTAGTTACTGTAGCTTTGCAACTGGATATCTTGTAGGGTATATAACTCCTCTTGTTTCATTTTCTTTTTTCTTTTTTTTGATTGGAGTATAATACAGTGTTCTATTAGTTCCAGGTGTACAATATAATGATTCAGTAATTCTGTACATTACTCCGTGCTTATGATAAATGTACTCTTAACCCCCTTCACCTATTTCACCCATCCCCCCACCCACCTCCCCTCTGGCAACCATCTGTTTGTTTTCTATACTTAAGAGTCGTTTTTGTGTTTGTCTTTTTTTTTCTTTATTAATTTGTTTCTTAAGTTTCACATATGAGTAAAATCACATGGTATTTGTCTTTCTCTTAGTTCACTTAGCATTATACCCTGTAGGTCCATCCATGTTGTTGCCAATGGCAAGGTCTCTCCCCCCCCCCCCCCATTCATCTGTCAATGGACATTTAAGCTGCTTACCATGTCTTGGCTATTGTAAAAAAATGCAGTAAACATAGGGGTGCATCTATCTTTTTGAAGTAGTGTTCTCATATTCTTTGCGTAAATACTCAGTACTGGAATTACTGAATCAGATGGTAATTCTATTTTTCATTTTTTAAGGAACCTCCATACTGTTTTCCACAGACTGCATCAGTTTGCATTCCCACCAGCAGTGCAGAAAGTTTCCTTTTTCTCTATATATTCTTGCCAACATTTGTCATTTTCTTTTTGATTTTAGCCATTCTGACAAGTGTACAGTGACATCTCATTGTGATTTTTGAATTGAATTTTCCTGATCATTAGTGATGCTGAGCATCTTTTTGTGTGTCTGTTGACTATTTGTAAGTCGTCTTTGGAAAAAAGTCCATTCAGGATTTCTGCCCAATTTTTTTTTAGATTTTATTTATTTATTCATGGGAAATACAGAGAAAGGCAGAGACACAGGCAGAGGGAGAAGCAGGCTCCATGCAGGGAGCCCGATGTGGGACTCTATCCCGGGTCCCCAAGATCACTCCCTGGGCTGAAGGCAGCACTAAACCGCTAAGCCACTGGGGGTGCCCTTCTGCCCAATTTTTAGTTGGATTTTTTTGGGGGGCGGGGTGCTGGGTTGTATAAATTCTTTATGTATCTTGGATGTTAACCTCTCTCAGATAATATCATCTGCAGATATCTATCTTCTCCCACTCAGTAGGTTGCCTTGTTGTTCATTCAGTTGATGGTTTCTTTGCTGTCCAGTAGTTTAATTTGCTTTTGTTTCTCTTGCCTGAGAAGATATATCTAGAAAGATGTTTCTATGGCTGATGTCAAAGAAATTACTGCCTATATTTTCTTCTAGGAGTTTTATGGTTTCAGGTCTCACTTTGAGGACTTCAATCCATTTTGAGTTTATTTTGTGTGTGGTGGGAGTCCAGTTTCATTCCTTTGCATGTAGCTATGCAGTTTTCTCAGCACCATTTATTGAAGAGATTTTTTTCCTGTGGCATGTTCTTGCCTCCTTTGTCCTAGATTATTTAATCATATATGTGTGCATTCATGTCTGGATTCTATACTGTTGTATTGACCCATGTGGCTACTTTTGTGCATTTTTCTCATTTCATTTTTATAGTTGTCCTGGCTATTTTTGTGTACTTTATTCCATATACAGTTTAGAGTCCATTTCTAGAAAAAATCAGTTGCAAATTGGTTTGGAATCCCATGTGCATTTGTTAATTTATCTGGTCACTCAATACATACTTTTCAAGCATGGCACATACATAGCAGGCTATTATAAGAACTACTAGAACTATTATAAAAGCTGCAAATATAATAGCAGTGGATTAAAAAATAGACCAGGTCTCCATCCTTGTGAAACCTGTAGTCTGTCAAGGAAGACAGATAAATATGTAACATGTCAGAGTGTGGTCAGTGGGAGAGAGAAATGGAGCAAGATAAGGGGAATTGAGACGGCAGAGAGGATGCCGCTTTATCTAGGTTAAGTACAAGAGGGCTTTCTAAGGTGTTCCTAGAGTTCTGAAGGATGTGAGTGAGTTCTGCTGATCTCTGGGAGAAGAGCAGCTCGGGCAGGGAGTAGAGAGAATGCAGAGACCCTGGGGAGGGATCTTGCTTTGCATATTTGACCTGCAACAGGAGTTGGAAGAGTGGTAGCCGAGGAGGACTAAGGGGAGAGGAGGTGGTGTGGCCCTGTGGCTTGTGCTAAGGATTATGGGGAACATTTGTTGATTGACTGTTGTGTGATTGGAACAGTCAGCGATGATCCAAAAAAGGTTTGTGGTCAGAAGACCTGTGTGCCAAGTTCTAGGCCTGGCTCGTGGTGCTTTTGTGACTGAGCGGGTCTTTAACACCCCTGAGCTGCTCTTTCCTCACACTAAATGGAGAATGACTATAGTAATGTATTTGTGTGTTTTGCTAACCTTTTGGTTTTGGTATGGCAAACCTACAAAAAGTGGCCAGAATAATACAAAGAATCCCTGTGTACCCTTCATCAAGATTCCTCACTTGCTTACCTTTTGCTTCATTGGCTTTGTCATTCACTCTGTGTATCTGTGTGTGTGTGTGTGTGTGTGTGTGTGTGTGTGTGTTTTCCCCCTGAAATCTGAGAGAAAGGTAGAGACATCATGCTTTTTGTGTGTTTCCTAAGATCAAGGATATTCTCCTATAAAGCCACAAAACAAATACTCAGCGCCCCTCAAGTCTTTATTTTTGACCATGATGGTGGATATGTAGTAGTATCTTGCAGAGGTCGTAATTTTTTGCTTTCTTGTTCACTAATGATATGGAGCACTTTATCACATATATATTGCCTATTTGTGTAGCTTCCTTTGCAAAATGTCTTTTTAAAAATTGTGTTTGGGACACCTGGATGGCTCCGTAGTTGAGCGTCTGCCTTTGGCTCAGGTCATGATCCCAGGTTCTGGGATCGAGTCCCACATCAGGCTCCCTGCAAGGAGTCTGCTTCTCCCTCTGTCTGTGTCTCTCATGAATAAATAAGTAAAATCTTAAAGAAAGAATTGTTTGTCTTATTTTTGAATTTGAACTCTTCATATATTATGGAGATAGAAGTTCTTTGTCAGCTATATGTGTGCATGTCTAAGAACATATACACTCTTATGTATTCATAATATTCCAGTTTTCATATTTGTCAGATATATAACTTTTCTAAATGATGTTTTTAAGGAGTAGTTGATTTTCCTAAGACTGATTTACCATTGTGTTTGTTTTATGGTTATTGCTTCCTGTATTCTGAGAAATGTCTGCATAACCCTGGGTTATGGAGATCTTTTGTTTTAGAAGCTTTATAATTTTACCTTTGACACTTAAGTCTGTGATCTATCTTGATTCATGGTTTTTCACACGAATATCCAGTTATTCCATGAGCAATGGAGAAGACTTTCTTTTCTCCCTGAATCGCTTTGGTTCCTTTGTCAAAAATCAATTGACCGTGTAAATGTGGGTCTGTTTTTGGATTCCTTATTTTCATTTTCTTTTTTTTTTTCTTATTTTCTTAATTTCTTTTTTTTTTTTTTTTTTTGCTATTGCAGGTTCTTTGTATTTCCATATACATTTTTTGATAGACTTTTTAGAATAGCTTTTAGATTTACAGAAAAGTTGAGAACGCAGTACTAAGAGTTTCCAGATACCCTGTGCTCAGTTTCTTCTGTTATTAATATCATTCATTATTTTAGTGCATTTGTTACAATTAATGAATCCATGCATCATCATCATCGTCATTACTTAAAGATTTTATTTATTCATGAGAGATAAGAGGCAGAGACCTAGGCAGAGGGAGAAGCAGGCTTCCTATGGGGAGCCTGAAGCAGGACTTGATCTTGGAACACTGGGATCATGCCCTGAGCCGAAGGCAGACACTCACCACTGAGCCACCTAGGTGTCCTGGTGCATCATTATTCAATAAAGCACATCATTTATTCAGATTTCTTAGTTCTTCTCTAATATCGTTTTATGTTCCAAAATTTCCCTTCCCATAGAGATAAGAGCATGTGCAGGCAAGAAGTCAGCCATCTGTAAGCCAAAGTGAGAGGCTCTGCTGGCATCTGGGTTTTGGACTTCTGATCTCCAGAACTCTGAGAAAATAAATTTCTTTTGTTTAAATCACCCTAATCTGTGGTATTTTGTTATGTCAGCCCTAGCAAACTCATACAGTATCTTTC